AACTTATATTGCCAGCAGAACGTATAAGTGGGGCAACACCATAAAAGCTATATCATATGAACTTATATAAACCCATCATGCTTATCAATCGAAGGTCTTCTCAGACTATAATGATGTCAGAACTTTGATGTACACACGATTAATGATCAAATTTACAAAATTACCGTCATATTTACCAAGGTAATTTCTTAAGTGTACGAAAGCCGACTGAAAGGTTCAATACATGGGTATAAAAGGCAATTCGAAAATCTATTTTTATGAGATTTTCTCACTGATCGGCATATTTAAAGTTCTTAAGGAGTTATTGTGGTAGTGGTTATTTTACCTGACTGCTAAGAAAGCATAAATGCTTGTGAGTAAGCAACCGGACGGCCGACGGCAATAGGTCCTCTGCGAGGGTTCTGGTAATGAGGATTAATGCCTTACCAAAGGGCACTAGTGCATCATCGCCTTGGTTTCGAACCCAGGTCACCGGATTACGAGACCACTGCTCTACCGACTGAGCTATCGCGCCTTGTTATTTATAACAAGTTTTTATGAAATGGGGGCCCTGGTTTAGGACTACCATGACTACAATACTGCCCTATACTAGAATGACCTTGACAAAGTGAAAGAGGATATAACCCTGTAGGTGTTTCCTTTGGATTTTTTACACATTAATGATGCCCGCATGTCTCTTTTTTTGTAATATGATGTTCATTTGTCAAGTTCATTGTATTTTTTAGGCCCCTTAAATCAGCCAATTCACACGTCCTTAAATGGATTATTCTGCACGTCTTCAGTGACTCTTTTCATTTCATTTTCATGTTGGGAAACAGGCAGTGCTGATCTAGTATATATTTCATCGTTTTATTTATGTGATTATGAATAAATCAAACCAAAGTACACTTCACAACTCAAAAGGTCGATTACTGTATGAATTCTGTACATAGTGTGAAATGAACAGACAGAAGTAAATAAGGGGCACATTTTTAAAAATAATTATGATAAGTGGTAACTCGAACTACCAAATAGTAATAGAGACAATCTTTGACATTTTTCAGTCTCCAGCTATACATGATTCTACACTGGATTAAAAAAAAGACTAATCGGAAAGTTTCAAGCGAAGCGATTATCTATTCAACTTGCTAAAGTTTGATCCAGAGGTTGTCTGTATGTAACTTTTACTATACTTTAAAGAGGAAGCTTGAAATTCGCCGCAATCATATACATATATTCTTCTTTGGTTTGGAGGATGCTTTACTTGGAATTTGATCTAATCCTCCTTTGGCGCGTTTTGTGTTTAAATACAACAATAAATTGTTCCAAGATTACTACAAATACCATGGATCATGCTAAAATTACAAGATCGGACCCCCAACAAGGCACTCGAAATGCAGCCGGATTTCCCACCAGGGAATATATACCTTATCCTTCATCACACGTAACCTGACAATGAACCTAGAGAAGGAATTCGTGAGAACAAATCGAGGGATATAAAATACATTCGTTACCATGGACAACAAACACCTTTCCTGACATTTTCTTTAGCTATTCTAGTGAATCTATCCTTGGTTTCAAGATCGGTAAAGAGAAAGAACAGCTGATCAGGCATCTATCGATTGCGATAATGATGAGTAATAGCTGGTGTAACATGCCAAACATTCGTGCACATTTTGTTGCCGTCAAATCTTCTATGGCTACATTCGTAGAATATATTAAATATTCATAAACGAGGCTGTAGTAGGAAGTGTTGAGCCAAGGCAGTATCGAACCTTAATCATGTAGCTAATGAGACGGACACATGTTAGAGTGAATCAGAAACTAAAGAAATTCATGTCTAAAAATATGTGATCCTATGAGGTACTCGAGCACAAATGCAAGTTATAACGCAGATGTTTTGGATTCGCATAAAGGGGGTGTTTCCTGTCCGTAGAATTCCACATCCTCTTCATTTCTTAGTAGAATTCAAACGGGATCACTATTCCATCATTATTCCATCTAATCAATAAAAACATTTCACCCGCGACAACATTACTTCTTTGCAGAGAAGGCTTTTTTGCTCCTATGAGGAAGATTATTATAGTAAGAAAATATATAAGTTTAAAAGATCGTGCTTAAAAATCATTCGTATTTCCAAATATAACAATATATAGTTTAAAGGTTTATAACAAATTGTGATGCTTCATGTACGTAATGTCATGTATCCCATGACTGTGGGCAGTTCTTTTCGCTGTATATCAACAACACTAAGTTAAACTTCCAGTTATGTTGTTTATTTGAGAAAAAACAAACATTTATTCTAATTGTATTACATAATCTTTTCTTTCCCCGAGAAAAATGTAGAAAGATTTCTCTACAATTCAAATGCAAGACTAAACATTCTCTCAAGTAGGGCATCTCCTGTACACATAATGCCACTCAGACACCTGGAATTCATCACATCCACATTGAAACAAGTCATCTATTGTGAACAAGAAATACAAGAAACAAAAACAGCCCCTCCCCCTCCCCCTCCCCCCCCCCCCCCCCATAAATGAAACTTGAACTTGATATGCTACAGATCCAGATTTTCTTTTATATTACAATAATCGTCTGAATTTTCATCAATATGGTGATCGAGCACTAAAATTGTTCCCCGACTCATCAATGAAAAAGGTTGCAGCACTGGTGTCAAGTATGCTAAGTAAACAACCCTCCCCACTTCTCAGTATTATATTGATTTGTGTATCAAGGATGGAAAATGAACATGTGTGTAAACTGGTAATATTTGGTTGGGCTTTGTTCGTGCGTGATTGCATCATTACATTCCATTGGAATCTTTCAGATTCTGACACCGTAGTAATGATTTGTCTTTCCAGACTTCGGTGATCACTACAATCCATCCTATAGGGCGTTTGAACATTTTTTTTTTGTGGTAAAGTGTTCTTGCAAGCGTAACACACTTACACCTGAATATATAGGAATAAATGATGATAATGTAGACTAATTTCATTATATTAAACAAAGAGAGATACGGAAATTAACAGTGGAACAGACGCCGACCGTTCTTTTATAGTTGCAACAGAGATAATTGGCTGACGAAATAATGCGAAGGTGCAATATATCTCAATGCAGAGGCTCAAAATCAAGAGAGTACGTTAAAAACCTGCTGTATACAGACTCTGATACTTGTTACTTTTAAATCAGGAACGATATTGCCAAATAGAACCTAAAAATCCTTTGCTTGCTTTCCTGCAAATGATCATAATCATTCAGAATCGCCTGTTGTGCAAGGATGACGAAAGGCAGACTTGTTTTTCCCCATTCAACGTCCTATTCGAGGGAAAGAGAATTTACCACTATATTTTAAGTGTTTACTCACCAGGAAAGCTTTCGTCAACTTGAGTGTTCAAGCTTAAATCGAGTCTTTCCTTCGCTACAACAACACTCTACCAGGTCTAACAATGACCTACAGTCCTGGCAAAAAACACCTAGCTTTACAATGACCTTCATTATAGTATAAGTATCATTATTTTGAAAACTGATATACTAACTTTGGTAACTATATATCCATATTTTAGGTGCACCTTCCATTCACATACCGTCATCCACCCAATTACATCCTCACTTAGCTTGAGGCTTCTTATCTTTGATTGGTGTTTCCTACAATTTCCTAGACACGTCTTCATCGCCTTATTAAGATATATGTATTTCTATAAGAAAAGGGGCCATTGACACCGTCAGGTTAATCTTGTAATTAGTTCGAGGAAGTTCTATCCATTAAAGAAGTTCTGAAAGGCATTATGTAAAAAATAATTTTCGTGGTAAACGGTCCGCAAAGTTCTGAAGTCACATTTCTTGATAACCTTCCATTGAACTGAATATACGGAACATTTAAATTCACTCTCTTCCTTTTATTATTTCCCTCCTTTTCCTTCTGTTCCTCTTTAGAACAGACTTTTGGGCTGTATTCAAGTTTGCCATGAAAAAGTAAAATGAAGTTCAACTCATTTCGTACGATTCAATCTCAAGACCGTGAGGCCCGACCTTGAACATTCCATTCTTAAACTTCCTCTTCTCTCTTCTCATTCTTCTTCTGACTCCCATTCTTTACCTTCTCTTCCTACTTCTCTTTTTCTTACATCCATCATCAACATCATTTAATTGTTTTTGTCTGTATATTTTGCTATACTTGATACTTGCTTCTTCTTTTTTCTTTTCGTTTTAATTATTATACTTCTACCTGATTATGAATGACACTGTGTCAAATTGATTTTGAGGAACATAAACTCTACCAGCTATGCTTTTTATTAAGTTCCCCTTTTCACATGTAACTTAGAAATTATCTAATGTAAATGCAATACAAACTTATGTTGTGTAAATGTCTTTATTATTCATGAATATAAATTTTATTAATATGCTATAAGTTTTGTTAATGAATTGTTTTTCGTGTGAAAATAAAAATAAAATAAACTGAAGTGAAGATTTGTGAAGGCTTGTCTCATAGGAAAATCAAAAAAAGTACTTGATTTACATAGACCAGTCTATATTGTGTGTTCTCTACGGCTACCTGAACGCATTCTACCCGATGTGCGGAGATAGTTCGTTCTTCTCTAGTTTGATATGAAATCATTTGAATCTTGGGTTTAAATGCCTCTACTTACGGATATAGCAATCCTTCCTGGGATGGGTTTGACAAAATATTTTTTTTTTCATCCACAAGATGAAAGTCATGACGTTTTGACCTTGAGCGTATGGACAAGGAATGAACCCAAGAGAACAAACATCTCCCAGGTTTCGAAAATGACAACGTAAACATTTACATAACACTAACCAAGGAGAAAAAGTTATCACTAGAAATTCTTGACAATGATCGTTATCTAGGTAATGAAAATATGCGCTTCACGCTACACCTTGACGCCCTTACAGAGTTACCGTGTAAGAGCTACACTTCGAGTCCAGTTTGGCGAACTTGATCATGAATTTAATAGACATAAATATTATTTTTTGCTGCAAAATATGAATAATTAATTACTCACCACACAGGACAAGGCTATTCTAAACAAAAGCTCCATATTTCTCTCTTTGTTTGAAGCAGTGAAGACAATGGAGAGAGTATGAATCCAATATTAAAAACCGCAGTGTACTTTGCCAGATCTCCCTTCTTCGGTCTGCTAGTGCGCATCAATAATTACCAATGTTCCGTCTCCGTATGATCTCCGAAAAATGCCGAACGTGTGAGTGAGTCGTACGTTCTCCACCTTCTACCGGACGCGTTAGCTAGCACCGACTAATTTGGCACCCTTTGTCTCTTTGCGCTAATACCTCCAGCTCCTCCGGAGGAAAGCACCGTAGTCGTTATTTCAAGCACCCGCACACATCGCTCTGAGGAAAAGTCAAGTTCTTGCTAGATATAATTAGTAGGTCTGACGTCATCGCTCATGAGCATGCGTAGAAATGCAATGTAGATACAAAAACAATATCGAGCAAAAAATCGTCATTGATCCATTGGTTGAGTTGCAACACAGATGTTTTCGTTGCACGCCACAAAATTCAGGAAAAGTTCGTTTGTGGGAGAGTATTTAGGCAGCAGTGAGTTGCCATGGTTACCATGAACGGGTCGTCAAGGAAATAGACTGAACCATCTTTTCACGATGATCATGTGATATTTCCTCCTCGTATTAGTATGGATAAGTTGTAATATCTGGTTCAGATCGTCTCTTATTCTCCCTCTCTCTGTCAAGATTTAGAATTCTTAAAAACAAACAAAGTAATGTAGATTTACTGGAAAATTGAAATGATTCCCTATATACTTTTGCGATTGTTTACAATGTTGATGTAGTCGTGCTGATTTGTATACCTTTGTGTATGTTCTACCCATGGATTAAAATAAGATCAATTTCTATATTCATTCAACCATAATATGCAAATTATGATACGTCTATATATGACACACATGAATAGCGTACATGTATAATGTAATGACGGGGAAAAAAGAAGGTATACAAAATTAATGTGTTTTTGTTTAATTTTTCTCGAACGCTTTTTCAATACCAAGATAAGCAACGAGTAAACATATTTTAAAGCTTTAAATCATGGCTTTTGCGTTTTGTTTTTAAACGAAATAGCCGTCTTGACTGTCTTTTTCAAATTGTTCGAAATAATCGTCGTTTATTTACCTTGAACAAAATTCTTCTTTCGGATAAATTTTACAACCTGCTTCCACTTGCGTTTTACACAGGCCGTTCACTGTATTACAAAGTTTGTCAAACTAAAAAATCATTGATTTTTAGATAGCTTACCTACTCTATTCTATTTTGTTGATAACTGACAAGTACTTCATCTTAAAATTAATTTGTTTTATTATTTATAGATTAGCGTGTCAATCATAGGGCGGAGACGTTTACACTCCCCCCCCCCCCCCAACAACAAAATCTGTCGTTTTATGTCCTTGTTTTAATCTTCATTACTTACCTCACTATAGTACACTAATAATAGAGTGTGCATCTCATTGCAGGATAACGTGATTAACTAGTTCAAATTGTCTAATTAAACATGCCTCTAGAACGTTGTTCCATTGCCATGGTCCCCATGGTACACTGTATCGACACGCCACGTGGCTGTTCGATGCTTTATGAAAGGTTTTAAAAAAGGTTTCGTGACCTCTATGCAATCAAACTTGACGTATGCATGCAAGTTTGTTGTAGTCGCTGTTGTTGTTTGATTATCGGTTGTTTTTGTGTTGTTCGTACTTTCCTTGGAAGTGCTAAGGTAAATGCATTTACTTAATAGTCTTACTAAATAATCACATTTGTACATTTTTACTTACTAACGTCTAGTGCAATTGCCCCGAACTTTGAAAAGAACAACTATGAGTATTCAAAACAAAATTATCATAAAAATTTGCTAGCCTAAGGGTTTCCTGCGTTAATCTTGTATAGTTACCGTGACCTTGTCTGGTCTGTCACTAAAGGAAATTGATAAAGCAAAGGCCTGGGTACCCGGGACACTCTCCTCGTTATGCCTAGCTGTTTACAGGAAACCCTCAAACTAATCAAACGAACTTCAACTTATGCACTTTTTTCATCAGCAAACATCATAAGAGTACAAATTATCCGATAAAAGGTTCTTTCACGCGACCAAGAACAAGCGTTTTCCATTTTACATTTTTTAGTTTCGTTTTTACAAACCCCCACCCCTTCTATGTGATTCTACAATCTTACTACCGGAAGTCATAGTATAGCTTGGTTATAAGGCTTGGTTGCGTCTACCTGAATTGAAGGATCTATATTGTTTCCTCTCTTAGTCGTGATTGATGAGCAGATGTAGTAGCATACTAAAGGCCCGGTCACACAGCCTTTCGCGTCTGTATCGCGGGTAAAATTTCGCGATTTTTTTTTGCCCGCGGTTGCCCGTGGTGGAAAATGTGCAAAATTGGCTTACCTGCGGTTTACCCGTGGTATGCCCGCGGAACAGACGCCGGCGACTGTTCCGCGTCCTTATCGCGGGTGAAGCGCGGCGGTACCGCGGCCTACCACGCTTACACGCGGTACACACGCTAATGCACGTGATAACAACGCGGTACAGACGCGGAACAAACGTGCTATGACCGTGCTCCACCCGCGATTACCCGCTAAAATTTCGCGTCCAATTCCGCGTGTAACCACGTCTTAACCGCGGCCGTAGCACGTCCTAGCACGTTCGTTCCGCGTCTGTACCGCGTCTTTACCGCGTGTGTACCACGTGTACCGCCCGCGATTACCCGCGGTCTAAATTTTTGGGCAGCCCAAAACTTTTTCGCGCGGCCAACCGCGTGTGAATTTCTTACCGCGTGTAACGACGGGTAAAGTACGGCTGTATCGCGTCTTTATCGCGACCTCAAAGCGTCCAACAGCCTTAAAGGCCCGGTCACACAGCCCCTTCACGGGCGTATCGCGGCCGAATCACGGCCAAAAATTTCTGCCCGTGAAGCTGACGCTGTTGGACGCTTTGAGGTCGCGATAAAGACGCGATACAGCCGTACTTTACCCGTCGTTACACGCGGTAAGAATTTCACACGCGGTTGGCCGCGCGAAAAAGTTTTGGGCTGCCCAAAAATTTAGACCGCGGGTAATCGCGGGCGGTACACGTGGTACACACGCGGTAAAGACGCGGTACAGACGCGGAACGAACGTGCTAGGACGTGCTACGGCCGCGGTTAAGACGTGGTTACACGCGGAATTGGACGCGAAATTTTAGCGGGTAATCGCGGGTGGAGCACGGTCATAGCACGTTTGTTCCGCGTCTGTACCGCGTTGTTATCACGTGCATTAGCGTGTGTACCGCGTGTAAGCGTGGTAGGCCGCGGTACCGCCGCGCTTCACCCGCGATAAGGACGCGGAACAGTCGCCGGCGTCTGTTCCGCGGGCATACCACGGGTAAACCGCGGGTAAGCCAATTTTGCACATTTTCCACCACGGGCAACCGCGGGCAAAAAAAAATCGCGAAATTTTACCCGCGATACAGACGCGAAAGGCTGTGTGACCGGGCCTTAACAAAGGACGGTGTCTTACTACTTCCTACGTTAAAGGGTAGTCTGTCTTTGAAATATATAACTATAATATGACATAATGTTCTACAGATCAGGTTATTTCAGTTTGGAGCACTGAGCCTATTTCATATTTGACCAAAAAATAGAAGGAATACAAAAGTAATTCAAGAGGGAAAAAAAGTCCTACATCTTTTCTTCTTCTTTTCCCCCCTTTTAATTGTGATTATTTAAACATAACCCGATACTCAATAGACTGCTCTTATTTATAACAGGGAATCTACATTGTACAGCTTAGCTTTTTACTAGATTCCCTCATATTTCACCACATATATTTGTCCAATTTCTAATACCATGCAATTATTGTATATATATCTCCGTACGTTAATTCGACTTTTTTTTTTTACTTTCATTGCCTGATATTATCTTGTTTAAAGCCCATTGAAGGAACAATTCTTGTCATTCTAATTGTGTATTACTTTTGATTTATGTCATGAATGTGAAAGTGAAATATGAACTAAACTAAGAAACTGGAATCATGTTACAAACTTCACCATACGTTATACCAGGCAAGAAATTGGTATTTGGTTAATGTGTGAACGTTGTGCAAATCGTCAGGTGCTTATATTCTGCCTGAAAATAGTTAATGTCATAATTTATATTCTGTCCAAAAAGAGCAGATAGCCTATGATCATTGTACTCCCTGTATCGATTAATTGAAGATGATTTATAGGGCTATTTTCTGATGAAAAAAAAACGTGCGTTGTATTTAGGGCCCAGTCTCTGATTTCTGAATTGTGCTTGTAAATTGGGGCAGACGTGTTATTTCATCGTACAATATCAAAGGACGAAGATATATAAATCACAGACTGGGTGATCATCAGGTCTCAACGGCTAATAGTTCAGTTTTTGAAGCAATTGAAACGTTCCGCTGATATCTTCATTCATAAATAGTATCGGAATAAACTTAAAAAGGGAAGAAAATGATACAAATTGACTCATAATAGAATAATTTACAGCACATGTTTTAATACCGACGAACAGCAATAATTAAAGATGTATCTAAAGAAAGGAAGGGGGGGGGGGGAGTTGGGAGAGAAACAAAGGCAGAGAGATGTGAGAAGAGGAACCATCCTTTAAATCTTTCACAACTTGTTCTTTGAAATGTTCATGTTTTTTTTTCTTTCATTAACCCAATTAATTTTTTTTTTTCAAAATATTTATTGAAAACAAATCTCATTCATAATAATAATAAAACCCAATTACTTGGAAAGCCATTATTTCTAGCCTCCTTTTGATTACATGAAATGCATTCAAAATGTTCACCTACGAATGACATTTTAAGTGTTTGTCATCTGTCACATTTACATAACATGTTACGAAGTAACTTAACACCAAAGTACAAGCCATACTTTTGCAGTATATTCAATAACGTTTATAAGTATAGGTCATAAAATATAAGCTACTCAAAACAGCCTATTCGCGTCATCACAAATAATTTGCATAAGCATATTCTTTTTTATTTAAACAATACAAATTACAATTGATTTATGTTATACAAAATATTTTGAAGGTCTCAAATTCCCAATTGGGTGTTTTATAGTTTTTATTCAATTCAAGAGTTCTTTATTCGCTTTAAAAAGCACATATAAAAAAAATTAAAAAAAATATACAATATATTCTACAAATAGGCACATTTACAATATATGTAAAGACAAAAAACAACATCAACAACAGAATACATGTATAACAGGGTAAGATCAGAGTGTGCATAAATACAAGATAATTTCCTCGCACTCCTCTCGGTTAAGGAAACCCTTACATAAATAAT